ATCTGATTTGTGTCTGTCAGTGTAAGGTCAGTGAGCCTGAAAATATAGACATTGGTTGAAAAGCGGCAGGGGAAAAAAGAAGAAAAAGTTAAATCCAGGGTGGTTTTCACTGTTTAGTGCTGCCTACCCTTTCAGAACAAGAAAAAGACAAACCCCTCCACATTTCTGGCTGTCATGAGCTGCACTTCCCTATTCAGACCCCAGCCCACTGAAAGCAGTAGTTATAAATGCTCAAGAACTAATAAACACTTCCCAGGGTTTAGCACTGGAGAACCACATGGTAAGGAATAGACAATTCTTTGTCATCACATGTAGCCCCTTCCTTAAAATGCTCCAACTTGATTTCTCAGGCAATAAATCAGCTTTCTTTGGCTGATGTGCTAAAGCCCATTTATGTACCATAAAAGTGTTTTTCCCCCTCAATATTCTGTATCCCTGTGACGGCTTTATTCACCAGCAAGCACATGTGCATGTGACAATAAAATGCAGACATTACACTGCTGAGAAATAATTCTTTTTGCAAGTTAACACTCCTCAAAGCACGTGAAGTCTCGTCCTCACCCAGCCAGCACAACCTTTATTTGCTCTACATTTTCCTGACACAGTCACAGCTCTGCACCGTTCCATCATATGGTAGAGGTATTAATTCACTATTTCCTGCATTATACAATCCCCACTTCCTTTCCAGCTTTCTCACTCTAATGATGCTATAATAAAAAACAGAAGTAATAATGAAATTGGAAAATAGTGTAATTTCTAGCTGGCAAAGAGAGTTGCTGGAATAGAGCAAAGCTTTGGAAGCTGCTTTGCTACTAGCTTATTAGATGAGAGTTTTGAACAGCCTTTGAATGACTATTCAAAACGTGCCAACACAGCATTACAGCATCTCAAGAACTGCAGACCCAAGAGTGAAAGGTTGATGGTCAAAGACCAAAGAATCCACACCTGGGGGTTATATTTAGTATTGACAGAGAAATTCCCTCAAATGGGACTTTTCTTGAGGTCGAGGTAAAACCACTGTGGGCTCCAAAACAGTATTAAATCAGAGATGTGGGGCTTGACTCTGCTGTCATGCTCCTCCTTCTGCAACCCCTCCAGTTGGTATTGCCAGGCACGGGCTTTGCCTATGGGAAGCTGCTCCTTGTTGCACTGGGATAAACAGGATCTGAATCGGGACATTAAAATGAAGTTTTAATGAGCAATTTGGAGATAACGTTTCCTTTCAGCACACCCAGAGACACACCTTCCCCATACACTCTGCCCCCTCTCCTGATTTTCAGCACCTCATTCATGCACCCATGACAATTCCTTGCACAGATGCCTTTTCCCAAAAGAAGTCCTCATGATAGGGTTAAAGACACTGATCTTCTGGCTGGCTTCATCTTCCAGAACTCCTAGTGCTAGGGGAAATGGCATTTCAAAAGCTGGGAGCTCTTGGGAAATGCAGCAATATCCTTCAAACCTTATTTGTGGCTGAACTTGTCACTGGTGTTTTCCAGCCAACCTGAAATGCAACAGCTTGGTTTGAGCTCTGGACAGAGGGTGCCTCAAAGCTGCATGGACAGTTCCTGCAGTGCTATCCAGATGTCATCGAGAGCAGAGAATCTGGTGATTTAAATAAAAGCACTTCCCACTCACTGCAACCACCAGCACTCTTCAGCCACATGAAGGAGAAAGCAGCTTGGATGCTCTCAACTGAGCAGAAGAAATACCATCCCGCTCCTATTGCACAGCCAGAGGGAGGCAACACCACATCCAGCAGTGGGACATACTGCAAAGCTCCAGCCCCAAGGACACCCGGTTCAAGGCCTCTGTTCCATAGGACCCTCAAGCTGAACCCCTGAGCTCACTCATCTTCCATCACCTAGCCCAGTTGCCTAATATTATGCCTTACCTTCCACCATGAGAGCACATTCAGCTTCAGGACAGGGTGGCCTCAGCCTTCTCCAGAGTTATAGTGAGGTTTTCAGAGGAAAATTTAACTCTTCAGGTCCATGGAGAACAGAACAGAAGCGCAAGTTGGGGATCTCTTACAGACACCAGCTGGAGCATCCTTTGGGCCAGGGTACAGGGCTAACACATCATCTGCAAGGAAAAGGTGGGCAGAGAGAAGGGAGGACATGGGCTCTTACACAAGCTTTGAGGGCTCACATGGAGCAGCCAGACCTGCATCTCATGCTGAGACACAGAATCCTTGTGTGGAAGAAAGTGGGAGAGAATAACCACTGCACTCAGCCACCTCCAATGGAACAGGAGCCTGCAGCCAAGCCCCTCGTTGGTGCTGCCTCACCAGCTCCTGCAACGAGAGTGCTTTAGGGGTAATAAACAGCACCCAGCAGGTTGCAGCACAGCCTCAGGCACTTGGGTTTCAGTGCCTGGAGCTTGTGCCTGGAGTCTTGTCAAGCTTTGCAAGCACGGACTCAACTTGGAGCCATATTTACACAGGGGATGGTGAACAGCAGCTGGGAGGAGGATGAGGAGGTGCCTGGAGCGCAGAGTGTTGGATGGATCCAGAGACACCAAATCAAAAGGTGGTTGGAAATGAGATGCAGCCAACTTGTTCCCAACTGAGCTCCTGGAGAGCAGGAGGGTTACATACCTGGAGTCAATGCAAACAGAAGTGGCATTGTGCTCCCCCTTCCTGCAATAAGGGAGGAATGGATGCAGTTGCTTGATGCAGCACTGTTCAAAATCTGCCCAAATGCATGATGGATACAGTGCCTGAGTGTTTTGACCTTCAAACCTCCCTCTCAGCTCTTCCATTCTCTGTAGTTAGATCCAATGGTGGTTTCATTTAGCTGGGGTATGTGGGCAGAGATAGGTGTCTGTTGACTGATGATATCAGGCTGCATAATTTGCTTTTAATTTATATCTGTCCTCCCAAAGAGTGTCTAGTGGAGGGGAATAAAATAGATGTGAAGATTAAACAGTGGCTTCAGGGCGGGAGGGACCTACAGAACACAAGTCAGCCTCTGCTAAATACCTGAACAGACATTAGCAGTTCCTGTGGGCTTCAAACTGTCATTTGAGCAAGAAAATGATGCATATAGCCTAAGTGCTTACAGCCCAACTAGAACTGGGTTTGGAGCAGATAGCAGGAAACAGAGAAATCTAGGATTATGCTAAACCATTCCTGTGCTAAAGGGATGCTCAGGTATGTCAAGAGGCAAGAAACTAGAGGCAGGGCAGGTGTACCAAAGCAAGAGTGAGGACACAGAAAGGCTCAGTCATACTGGACCATCCTGCAAACCCACTGGCTTTTTGGGGGACACAGACAGGCAGACCCTGAACAGTGAATGATAGCCTGGCATGGCAGGGCAGGCTGGCTGGGAGCAGGGACAAGAACAGCCTCATCAGGAAGCAGAAATTGGCCATTAGGATAAAACAACTGTGAGCAAGACCCAGGATAACAGCCACAGCAAATGGCACATTGCAAAGCCAAGAGCAACTGGTGGGATTGCCCAGCATCTCTGGCAGCAGCAGGGACTGGCTAGTCCCAGGCTTGACAAGGTTAGTCTGAAACTAGCTTGCCAGACAATCTTTTCCGGACTTGGATTAATCAGACAATCTCTTCTTTCCACTTGTCAGCCACAATTTGCTGTGTTTCATTTACAGCTCCTTCTACTCTACAAACACAAGCTGCTCTTGTGTTTGCAGAGACTGGCAGCCCGTGTTAATTAAGCTGGAGATGCTGAGAATTTCACAGCCTTTTCAGTCACACCTGACCCCTGCATCTGCAGAAAGACACCCCCTTTTAATGCACTTATCTCCCTATTTCATTGCAGCCACATCCATCTGTCCTGCTTGCTCAGGCTTGGCTCTCTGGAAGCAGGGACATGCCATTTCCTCCCTCTGAACTTATCCTTTCCACACATCAGGAGCTTATCTTCCTCTGCATGAGGCAAAGGGTACAGGCACTGCCCTGCACCTTCATGTGTGTGAAGACCAGTTTACATGGCTGTATGAGTAATATTAAATCAAATCACAATGTTACATGATCCCTGTGCTGCTTGCCCCTTCAGCATCCCTGGCTGCTCACTGCAGCACTAGCTGCAAGCAAGAGAACCGCCTGCACCTTCCCCATCCTGAGCAGGGATGCTCAGCTGTTGACTTTCTCTATAGCTGCTTTTTTAACAGCAGTGACTAACATGTAAAGTTTCTTACCTAGACTGAATTTGTTCTTGTACACAGAACAGAACGAATGCATGTAATCCACCTCGATCCCTCACTTTGCTATTCAAAGATTTCCTGGACTCAAGATTCAGTTTGTGACTGGCAAGTACTCTATACTGCTTTGGACTGCAGCACTGTATCAGATAATCATTCACACACTGGATTAACTGGTCTGAATCCCCATAAAGATGGGAAGCCAGTAAGAAAAAAAAGCCCCATGTAAACCAAATGTTCATTCAGTTTGAGTTCACTGTAATGCCTCTGCTCACATCAAGACTTAGCTGGGATCAGAACGCTTATTTCCAATGCAATGCTAATTAGGATAAACCTATCTGAAAGAGCCAGGGAGAAATATCCAAACTAATTTTAGCAGGACCACTGGTCACTCCAGCTCCATCCCTCACAATGGAAGGAAGAAAGAGCCCTTTTCCCCCCACTGTTTGCATGCACAGCCTGGTCCTGTGAGCAAAGCAAGTCCAGTAAGGAAAAATATCCACCCCAGCATCTGAACCTCTGTGTGCCTTTGGTAACTAACTTGTCCCACTACTGTATTGCAAAGCACAGCAAGACTACAGGCAGAACTGAAGAGGAGCCTGACACCAGCAGAAAATTTGAGCTCCGGGAAGTAACTACTGCTTAGGAATAAAAATGTTGATAAAACTAAATAAAGAGCACAGGATTGGTGCCTTATAAAGGCTCTGAATCCCCATCCTGCAGGTGAACGTCATCCAAGGGGGATGGCCCTGCAAGAGGATGGGAAGCCCCAAGAGCCCAGGACAACACTCAGACATAGAGAACAAACAGAGCTAGCCAGGAGGTCAGACTAGATCATATAATAAGTCTTTTAGTCTTGAGCTTGGTGCATGTTGGATCCCAACAGTGGATCTCCCAATGTAAAGGGCCCCCAGACTTTCAGGTTTGCTTTGTACACAAGTGAGCCTCAAAAGAGGTGGGATGGGGTTAGCCACGCTCTGCACCAGATAAAGTTGATATCCAGCTCTTCCCTTTGGTTATTCAAATCCAGCAGCTGTGGAAAACCCTTAGAAGCTTCTCTCTGGGGTATCTCTTTTAGTTACCTAGAAACCGAGACTGAGTTTTATGAGCACAAAATATGTTGGGAGGCATGTTTGCCTCATCTGCTTTAAAAAGGAGCTATTTTGCCCTTTTCCCCACCCAGCAATTTCATTAGCTGAGAACTATTTATGGGCTTTAACCACCCCTCTCTTCTTTGCAGCTTGGATTTCCCAGGGATGCAAGAGCATCCCAACCCCTTTCACTTCCAACATTATGGCCTCACCCAGAAGTAATCTGTACAAGCTCCTGTGGTATCTACAGGGCTTTCTGTGAATAAGAAACCTTTTATGAGCCTAATACCTCCGCATGCTGTCCCAAGACCTCAGAGAAACCGACTGGTGAGATGGATTTTGCCCGGGGGGAAGTCCTACCAAACCTACTGGGATTAAATTCCAGACCATAATTGAACCCAGCAAGCTGATTGTCCTCTCCTTTTGTCCAGGATCTTGCTGAGCTTTCTTTGCAGCCTGTTTGCTGAACGTCACAGAGCAAACACCCCTGCAGCCGGCGCATTATCCCTGCGCACAGAGCGGGGGGCTCTCATTCAGTTCAGTATTTATGGGTCGCAGGAGTGATTTCCCCAAGTTAGCACATCGCCTCAACAAAGCAGAAGGGGCTCAGTGGCAGAGAGGGAGGCAGGCATATTAGCCTTTCACCTTTGGAGGCCTCGGCTCAAATCCTGGCTCAGGTTACTGAAGAAAGCGAGTCTGATGGGCTCTAACCCCCATCTGCAGGGTGAAGCTGCCTCCCTAGCAGCCAGGAAAGCAGAGAGGTATTGCACACTACACCCAGCCCATGCTCATGTGTAGGACGCCCATACTGGGGCTCTGCTCCTAGGGGACCTTAGCCAAACTGGTAGTTTCATGGCTACAAATTGCCACGTCTCTTGAGGGCATTGCCAAGGCAGGAAGCATCCAAGGCAGCACAGTGTGATGGTGAAGGCAGGCTGGGTAACATCGTCCCATTTACTTTCTCTCGGTTTTGCTGATCTTTCTTCTCCAGTCTGACTAGACCAGCTTAAAATTTACTGACCCTTTCTCTTTGTCGCTCTGCTTCTCTCTGTGACAGATGATGCAGCTAAAAGTGGAGAAAAAAAATACAGTTTAAGTATAAAATACCTAGGCTCATCACTTTTCCCTGCCTTGGCTCATATCACTGCTGTTTAACAGGAGGTAGAGACCACCAGGGCTGTTGAGCAGATACAATCCACTGGTGCTATTTTCACTTTAGGTATTTCTTTGCACTTCATGAAAGAAAAAAACACAAATACAAGGCCTTTTGCACCTGGTGAGGAGGGGCTGTTTGCTTAGACAGCCAAATGAAGTCATTGCTGAGAAACTATGCCCTCACACCCCTTTTAATATTCCCTTGCCAGAAACCATAATGGAGTGAAATGACCCATCACCATCCACAGCTGCCTGATATAACCAGGAATGTTTCTGCCTCCTCCATCTCTTCTAACCATACAAAAGCCAAACTGTCCTTATCACTGGCATTTAACAACATCATCATCTTCTCCCTAGGATGAAAGGGAGGTGGAAATTACTGCCTAGATAATTTTCCCTGCAATTTGCCCTAGAAACCTTCTAATGAATTCTACAGCACCTGAGCCTGCCCTGCTGTGTGGTCTGGCCAAGAACTACACCAAATCCTAGCCAGAGCAAAGTTGCCTTAGAGCAGCTCCACACTTTAACACCACTCTGACAAATGGAAAACTAAGCATTTTTAATTTGCATTTTAAAACAAAGGCTTCTAATATCCAGACCATTAACTTGGCTACGAGGCTTTCACAGCAAAACTTGTTACCCAGGATGTGTTTTGTTGTCATTAAGATATATTAAATACTAGTAATTGTGATGCCTTGCTATTATGCTATTTGGAGACTTGCCACAAGCCCACTTCCACCCAACCTGTATTATGCTGTGAACCTTGGAGGCATTTTAAACATCTCCTGCAAAATTCATGAACGTGAAAAGGAGCCTGTCTCTATTTCCAGCATCTTAAAGGACTGGGGAGCCTTCCTGAAACCCAACTCAGTTCAGGGCTGAACCCTAGCAGCTACCGCATCTCAATCCAACCTGCCGTGCCCCCACTCAAGCCCAGATGGTTACCACGCTCTATATGCACCTTCCTTCTAATGAATATAGGCTTACGGACATCTCATGCATTATTTACCAAGGTGTGCTTATTATGATTGCAATGATTTAAGGCAGTTTGTTAGAGGCACAGCTCTGAGCGATTGCGATCAATAGAAGAAACAAGAACAAGCCAATCTGCATAGAACAACAGTCCTGGTCCTTAGGGGATGTGCTGCCCTGATTAACCCTTCCCAACCACACACCAAAAGAGGCTGGCATTTGTTTGATACACAGAGCTGGTTACCCTCCCTCTTACCTTCCCACCTCAGTCAAGGGTGAAGAGAGATTCAAAGGGGTTATGTGGCTCCTCCAGCTGTTTTCTGGGGCTGGATCCCACATGCTGGCACAGCATTCCTCATGGTATTCCATGTGTACCTTGGATGCGGCTGACGTTGCTGTAATGTCCCACCTAAATAGTGCGAGGTGGAATCACTAGAAACTTCTCCCATGTACCATAGGGAGCACATAGCCATACCCTTGTGCCAGGGTAGCCCAAGGAGTGTGGGTTTAAGGGCAACCAATAAACACTACTCTAGGTTTATCCCAAACTCCTCACACAAAGTGAGTCTGGAGATGTCCTTTCCCACCAAGTACACAACTGATCTCAGCTTGGCTTTTACACGGGAGCTTTGGATCGGACCTGGCACACAGGAAATATATTCATTACTTCAAAGGGGAAGCAAACAGGATGTCTGGACAAAGCACCAAATAAAAGGCTAATGACACAAATGGATATTTAATACAATGACTTCCTCCGATTATCCTATAAGGAAACACTTCAAATACTGTCCATTTCGGTACATCCTGCAGCACTGTAATATGCTCAAGAGTCCGGGAGGGACTTTTCCACACTGTTCATTGGTGAGGTGGGACTGTGCTGTTACCTGCCTGCTGCAGATGAGGCAGTACAGCACACACAGCCTGCATGAGCTGCTCGGGATGCTCTGCTAAGCTGTGGGATGGCAGCCCTACAGGCAGCACCCTTCTCCCTCCCCATCCCCTGCTCAGCATCCCCAGCACAGAGAGAAGGGTGACAAGATATCGCTGTGGTGGCTGTTCACATTACCTGAAGGGGACCTACAAGGATGCTGGAGAGGGGCTCTTCATCAGGGCCTGTAGCAATAGGACAAGGGGTAATGGGTTCAAACTTAAATAGGGTAAGTTCAGGTTAGGTATAAGGGTTTTTTACAGTGAGGGTGGTGAGGCCCCGGAACAGGTTGCCCAAAGAACTGGTAAATGCTCCACCCCTGGCAGTGTTCAGGGCCAGGTTGGATGGAGTCTTGGGTGACATGGTCTAGTATGAGGCATCCCTGCCTATGGCAGGGGGTTGGAACTGGGTGGTCTTAAGGTCCTTTCCAACCTTAACCGTTCTATGATTCCTGGTGATACAGAAACCAGAGCTACATTTTTCTTCTCCGCTCTATCCTTATCAGGAGATGGGGTTAACACCAGCACTGGGATCTTGGGTTCAGCCCTCAGACTGAGTCTCTCCAGGTCTGTCCCATAGCCTGAGCCATCCTCAGGGCACATCTGTGCTGGGGGGGTGTCAGTGGACAAACAGAGTTTAACCAAAATCACTGCTTAGCTTAAGCCAAGACAGGATTTCATTAGCACAGCACTTGCTCTGCATGCTGCTGCAGACCTCTCTGGAGAAAAGAGAACTGAAACCCTTTGCTTTGTAGCGACTGAGGAGGAGAGACAAGAACAAAATAGGTCAGTTAACAAAACAAGAAAAATTGTTTCCAGAGTCACCGTGACCTGATGGTTGCTTTGGGTTAAACTAAATCCAACCCACCATAATTGGCCCAGAGGCCAAAGACAGTGATATGCAGGAGAATTAACAGAAGATTCTTTTTTGTTACAGAGAGAACCCTGAAAAATGGCTTTGCAGAAATTACTTCTGATTTCTCTTTGATTTTTGATGTGAGAAATTCAAGTGAGGATTGAGCTCTATATGGGTACCAAATAGCAAAATAATGACACCATTAAGAACACAAAGCTGAAAGGTCCTTTCTAGTTTAAACTCATAGGCTTTGTTAGCAGTTATTTCATTCCAGTGCCTAGCCAGCACTTTGTTTAAAGGAGGTCTTTGTTAATATTGTAAGTTAATAAACATTATTAGGCAAACCTGCCTTTACCCAGCCAGGACCTCCTAGGGAAACCAAGACAGAACATTTGACAACCCTAAAAGTTCTGAGATAAGGAAAAAACACAGAAGAGAAAAAATACCCTCAACCTGAGTAGTCTTCAGCCATTCCAGCAACATCAAATACATAAATAAAGACCAACACCCAATTTCATTACAGGCTGTTTTCAAGTCACTGTTCTTCCAATAAAGGAAATCTATAGTCTGGTGAGGAAAAGCAGTATTTTCTAATGTCATTTGAAGCCTGAATTCCTTCCAGCAATTTACACACTGTTTGCTGGGATGATTCCACCCAGAAAAAAAGAAAACAAAACCAAACCCTCTTCTTCACTTCTTAGCACATCCTTGGGATAAAACTTGCTTTCCTGATGTAATAAAGATAGCTCTGACCAGTTCAGCCACTGTTAGTAATCAGACTGTGGCATCTTTGTACATGGTGTGAATTATAGTTATTTCTGTATCAGTGATGCAATAGCAGTTTTCTACCCATCTTGAGCTGTTCCTAAGCTCAAGGGAAAGGGGTTCATTCAATCCCATCTTTGCTGTACAGCTGCTTTAGGAAAGAAGCCAGTCAGTGTTCCATTCAGAGCCAAGAAAAATAATTTTTATGGATGAGATAAGGCAGAATTTGATCCTATGTTTACAGCTCCCATTGCAACCAGGGCCAAGCTAACAGACCTGTGGGAAAGCCTCCTTGTCTCACAGAGCCCCAAAGGGCTAATGTTCCTCCTTAGTGCCTTTCTTGGAGCAACACAAGCTATGAACTGGTCTCATTATTTGATAGCTCAAAGCTCCCTATTGATTCCCACCTACTGCTAACACTAAGGAATTACAGGTAGTCACAATCAGTTTTCACACCAGGACAAGGCTACTGGCAGCAACCTTCATCAGGCAGGGGGAAAGCCCACAGCCCCATTACCTGCTCAAGTAGACCAACACCAATGGAGAAATCAAGATGCAAAAGCATTCAGCTTCAAGGCCACCTCCTTATTCTCTCACAAGAGCCCTAAACTCCACCACCTCCTCCAGCCTGGGAAATAACCTCCTTTTCCTTCACAAACGACCCATTTCAACAGGCAGCAGCTGATGCTCAGCCACTGATGAGCATCCACCTCCAGCTGCTGGCTGAGCACACAGCAGAGGAGGTTAAGTGTCACTGGAGCTTAGCAGCAAGATTGGACCTGCCCTTCTCCAGCTGCATCCGTTGTGCTCTTGGGGCTGGGCCAGGCTCAAGACAGAGGATCTGACCGGGTGGAAAAGGAAATTCTGTGCATTCCTCATCCTACATGCCAAGTGAAACGCAGCGATGAGCAGCCAGAGCGGAGCGCTTGTCTGAGGCTTCCTTCTAGCTGCAAAAATGTGTTTAAAGCAGTTTTATTGAGTTGGGTCCAGCAAAACCAGGCTGCTAGGGTGATGAAATCATTCACCCTCCAGTACTGGTGTAACAGGTGAAGCGTTAGGAGTAGCATAAATCCTGGGATATACCCACCAAAGGCTGAATTTTGGCGTAGGAAAAACACCTGCCCTGCAATGTTCTCAGCATGTGATTTTAATTTTCTTTGACCTTTTTGTGTCTCTCCTTAGCCAGGCACAAAAATATCTTCCTCAGAAAAATTTCTGCCTGGAAATGATGGTCCTTTTTCCCCCAAGTCCTTTTAAAGGGAAGAAAATTGCTTGTAGAAATATGCTGCTATGAACAAGCAATGCATGAACCCATTCTGCAAGGGGAATTCTCTCCATGCTCATCCATGCCCATACCAGCTATATCCTAGCAAACACAATTGTAATGAAATCAAAACACAACAGCAGGAAAATCCCATATAAATGCAACGTGACCTTGACAATTAACTGCTGAAAAATCCAGCTTTTGGTTCCCTGCTCCCTTATTAACTTTGTAAATGGAAATCTCCCACGAGCAAAGTCATGGCTGCTAATCACGGCACCCTGACAAACGCTGGTGTGAGTAGTTTCCCTTCATTGCCACATCTGCCTTCAGGGGTTTTGCTGGGAGGGCTACGTTCTACCCCCACAATAACACTAGCTCCTTCATTTCATCCCCCAAAGCCCAGTTTGCTGCCACAAATCAGTGGGGATCCAAGTGCGCAGGAGGTAGTAGGTAGAGATATAACATGGGACCCTCTGTCCATCAAAGTGCTTAGTTAACAGCTGTATCTGATGCCAGGAGCAACATATTTTATATATTCATGCTGGCTAAATGGCTTTTTAGTGTTTAAACTTACCCACAGCAATGCTTCTTTCAGCTGGATATGATACCATCAACATCCTTCCTAAACCATCCCATAGCTGTCTCCTATGAACTCCAGAAGCAAGTTATTCAAAACAAATTAGACTCTATTCAGTGCTGATTTCTGCTGAAACACTGCTCAAACTCAGGTTCACATTCCTCCAGCCTAAATGGCCAATACAAAACTCTGGGATAAATATCAGCAACATGTTGTTCCTTGGGTAGAGTGAAAACCTCCCCAGGAAGGATAAACACAGAATCATGGGATGGTTTGGGTTGGAAGGGACCTTAAAGCTCAGCCAGTTCCAACCATGGGCAGGGATAACTTCTGCTAGACCAGGCTGCTCCAAGCCCTGTCCACTTGAACACTGCCAGGGATGCAGCATTCACACTTCTTTGGGCAGCCTGTTCCAGCACCTCACCACCCTCACAGTAAAGAATTTCTTCCTCATATCCAACCTAATATAAGGTAAATTACAATAATACATATTATTATATAATAATACATAATGCCTGTGGGTGCAGGAGAGAGCTCGTGGTGAGTTGGCACAGGGTTTGGTCTTTTGTTGAAGGACAAGTGACATAAGGCCACAGCTTTTCTTCCATATCTCTTCACAGAAAACAGTTGTGACCCAGGAACACATGTGCTGAGGGTAAACAACTGCACTCCTTTTAAAACACTGCAAACAGGGCTACAATAACATGGACCATACTCCATGTCCTAAAAGGGGTTTCCCACCCCTGTGTCCTATGGTCCTGCTCCTTTGACCTTGCCTTTCTAACATTAACACATACCACACATTTTTCAGACAGCAACCAGCAAAATGAGATATTTCACTGCATTTGATCCTCCCTGGGAGAGATGAAAACAAAAAGTCCTAATGCACGTTAATCCCATCACCAGAACGCTGCTGAAAGATGGTTGATACTTGGGATAGGAGCACTTGCAAGAGATATGAAAGCCTATAGTGTTATTGAGGCTCCTGCATCCCACCCCAGCAGTGGTTGCCTATCAGTGGTTCGAATATAATTTGTCCAGCATAAATAAGTCCATAGCAAGGCTCATTTGTGATGACAGACCACACAGCACCATGGTTTGGACTCCTCCATCTGCCTGTGCAATGTGTCACACGAGGCAGGGACAGGGCCCTGTGCTTTGGGTGATAGGCAGCAAACACATTGCTCTGCACATGTTGGGCCAAATTCCCTCCTCAGCAGGAGCCCTTGTGCCTCCTCAGAAAAAAACCCAGACCAAGACAACTTGCATCCATGGGACCTTCACGAGCCATTCATCTAGGGAAGAAGAAACCCTCTAATACAAAGAAATGCAAATAAAGACAGTGGAGTTGACACCTTCAATGGGAGGAAGGGAGCGTCAAGCAGCAATTTCCATCCTGGGGCTGGGGCTGTGTACAGACTTGTCCTCATTTTTGTCCTTTGACCCTCTCCCCCCAGCACCTGAGCCCTTTTTACTGGTGTTTCAGCAGCCCATCTCCTGTTTCCATTAACCCCCAGAGGAGGTAAGCTGGGCGGATGGTGTTCCACACAGAGGGCAGTGAGCTGCTCGCAGGTAACACCAGACAAGAGGCTGAGCCAATATTTGTGGATGGGGGAAGCATGAAGACAGCAACCAGACATGGGCTTGCTGCTTTGCACAGAACACTGGGAGAGGAACAGCATTATAACGACTCTCAAGTCTCCAGCTTTGCCTCTGATGTCGCACATCTGGGGGGCTGGAGCTGTTCTGAGGATTAGACAGTGTCAAAACCAGCCCCACTCTGCCTTCGGACTGTGTTTGTGCAGCACAGAGATGAGACATTTTCAGAATTCCTCCACTGAGCCTGACCTTGTAAGAGAACAAAATCCAAAGGACCTGTCCCCGCCTCAAATGACACCTTTGAGACTTCAATACCCCTGGACAGCCATGCCCCATGGGTGAGATACAAGAGTTTAAAATAAAACCAAAGGGCAAGTGTTGTCCCGCTGACAGTCAGAATCCCACTGATGTGAGCCACTTCTGGCCAAAGAGGTCAGAGAAGTATGATATCTGCTACAGCCAAGAAGGCACAATGTCCATCGTCCTTGCTCCCTCTGGTAACACTGCAGTTACTACAGCATGGTCGGTACCAGGGCTATAGCTTGGGGTTATTTGTATCCCAGCTATGAGCCAGGCCAGTGCTGCACAGAGAACACCCAAATAAACCCTGCTCCAGGGAGCATACATCTAGTGAGAAATCCATAGTGAGAAATGAGCTCTGCTTACCTGCAAGATCATCAAGTTTTAAATTTGGGATATATATTTATGGAGTTTTACTTTTTTTTTCCCTTTTTCTTTATGGAATCTATTGTTAGCAACAAAAAAGTCATTTCATCTTTGCAACACTGCCAACTGCAAGGCATCAGCACTTGGTTTGGAGAAATCCCATTAACTGTTTTACAAGATAAATGCTGAACTTAGTGACAAGCTGCCATACGGTTGTTCAGGATGGATAGACAGACAGGCTGTACCTCCTTCTACTCCATAAGCGTTTCACTCCAGCCGCAGTCAGCCTGGCTTAGTCATGGGTATATTTGTCATACAGGAACCTGAAGGATAGTGAAGGGCACAGATTTATCATTATTCCTGCAAGTGCAGGTTCAGCCTCCCTACCCTGTGCCTGGGAATTACCAAATGTCACAAAGAACAAATTGAGGATTAAAAGGACCCCTCAGTCCCTGCAATGTCCTGCTTTGCTGCTGGCCCCAGGGACTCAGTGCTCCCCTTCTCTTTGTCTCTGATCCGGACTTGGGCAGGTGGTGAGCCACTCGCCAGACCAGACAGCAGCATTCCCTGCTGCCCTGCAAGCATCAGGGTGCTGATGAATATCCATCTAATTGGAATTAGGGATTCTCCAGACCAGCCCTTCAACCGGAGAAATTAGCTAGTTTATTCCAATAAAGATGCTAATATAAGGGGCTCTGTGAAGGGCAAGAAATTCCCATTGTCATTCAGAAGCAATTTGTAGCGGATTTGAAGCCTTTGAAAAGGTGATGTGCTGGTGGCTGGGTTTGTATAATACCCATCCCCGAAATTCACAGCTGAGCATTCTTCCCCTCCATATGCTTCAGTGATGCCCAATTTGTATTCCCCTGGTGAGGAGGCACTGGAGCGGAGCCACTGGCAGCAGCAAGGGGAGAGTGGCTGGTCCTGGAGAGAGGAGATGGCAGCATATACGAAGGGGCTCATTTGTTCTTTGGAGCTCCAACTTCCATTACTCTTTATTTCTAGATTTAAGTCATCAGCTCCAAAAGTGACTAAGACTGAAGTTAATACCAAAATCCTTTCCAATTGAATTTCATTTTCCCCCAACACTCTCTTTTGAACTGAAGACTACATAGGCTGGTGTCTTGCACAGGGCACCTAAGGGGACTGAACTATCTGGGGAGGCTTAGGTTGTCCAAACTGCTTGGCAGGTGACATTTTGGGGACCCCCAGGCCAGATTTCCCTCTAATGTACTAGGCTCTGCAGTAAACCTCATCTGTATTTTAGGAACGAAGCACTTTCACAAACTGCAGCCTAAATCCACATAAAAGCCAAATGCCTCCCTAAGCTGCTCTTTGCAGATTGCTGTAGGAGATGTGATGATATAAAAATGATTCTCCAGCAGCTGTCTGGAAATTGAGGTAGAGCTCCATGCCACAGCAAGAGGCTGTTTTTGCTGAGGACGATAGTCTTGCCACTGACCTTATATCTTTTGCTCTTTCCATCTTGCGATGTAGTCAAGGAATGACAGCAGAAGGCACGAGCAGCTGGGGTTGCTCCCCAGAAGCCCAGATGCA